TGTGGGCTGATTTGGTTTGTGCATTGGGCTGAATGTGGTGTGGTGGCGTGCCGTGTTTGTGTAGCCGTGAAGTGTGGTGATATGGTGATGTGAATGTGCATTGAATTCGCGTGCCAAGAGCGTGTGGTTAAGTGGTGCGTGTTCGTGTGACGAGAATGCGAAATTATGGAATGTGTGTGAAGTGTGTATGTTTGGCAGTGTGTTTGTGTGGTGGCGTGGTACGTGTGGAGAGTGTGGAACGAAGGTTTGGAAATGTGGGATTGGTTGGAAAGGATCCGTCCTGAGGCGTGTTCGTTTACGCGGGACGATGCCGTCCCTGACGAGGTGACGATGCCCGGCCTGACGAGGTGTCGATGCCTGACGTGGTCAGAAGACCGTTGGCCTGATGCGTTTTACGCGGGCACGGTAGAACGAAAGTGTGTGTAGGATTCCGTCCTGAGGCGTGTTCGTTTACGCGGGACGATGCCGTCCCTGACGAGGTGACGATGCCCGGCCCGACGGGGTGACGATGCCTGACGAGGTCAGAAGACCGTTGGCCTGATGCGTTTTACGCGGGCGCGGTAGTGGTGGAAGAGTTGAGAATGAGCGGGAATTGGCTTGAGGTGCGAGGTTTGAGAAAGTAACGCGTGGTGTGAGTTGGTGTGCGAGTGTGTTTGTATTGCGTGGTGTGATGCTCGATTATGGGGAAAAAACTGCTAGGCATGGTATGGGACGTGCCCAAGTGAGTTTTGCTCTATAATCGGGGCACACGCGCGGCTGTGATGTATTTCTGTGGCATACTGGCTGTGTGGTTGACTAACGTGCAGGGACGTGCATGATGGATTCCAGGTAGGTCGCGTGTGGTTGCTAGTTTGGTTGATTGCTGTGTGTTATGCATGTTTCGTCTGGCGGTACGTGAGTGCCTACGTGGGGTTTGGGGTTGTACACTTATTGAGATTCGTCTCACGGTTGTATAACCGCCACTTTCAGACCCCCGGCCCTAAACCCGAGAAGTGCGCCTTTTCTTTTTGGAAGTCCGGGGAGCTACTTTTGGTGCCCAGTGGAGTTGCAGGTGAGTGTCCGGAGGCTCAGACCCGAAGATTCAGAAGCAGACTGGACGAGGGCGATCCTTAGGTTTTTCCCTAGGGTTTTAGGGGTTGTGTAAATCGGGTTGACCCATAGGGAAGTTATGTTAACCAGACCTTGATCTTTTGTTAAAACGGTGGTGGAGGATGTTCGTCTGTATTTATGTCTGTAATATGATGTTTGTATATTTGGTGCTATATGAGGATGTTGTTGTTTGTCTGTTCTGTTGTTCTACCCCGTTGTCGTCATCTTTTTGTCCGGGGTTTTTATATTCGCTTCCGCATGTGGCTCTGATGTTTGGGTTGGGTCGGCGACGTTCCTGGGACGTCGCATCATTTCGACCGGAGCAGGGGATGTCGCGAGCTCGATGGGGTTCGGGGCGTGACAATTTCCCTTCTCAATTCCCCTTCCCTATCTGTCTTACAGGTCTCGAAGCAAGAAGGGAGCGGCAGAAATGGGCGGAGGCAACGGCCAGAAAGCCAAGATGGCTCGCGAGCGGAACTTGGATACGCAAATGGGCGCCCGAACTAGATAGTATAAAAGAATTACTGACATATATTACAGATGATGTGGGCCTTGGAATATGACTTAGACTTATCCTCTATGTATGAAAAAGCTGACGGGTCTAAAGGAAAACCCAAGTCAATACGACAGTGTGGGAAGTTTGAGAGAGAAAATATGAGAAACGGAGCAAAGAATTCTGATAACCCTCTGCCCATCTCTATTTTCCTTGTTGCCAGTGTCTTGAAGGATAAAGAGCTCAAAGCTCTTGCAAGATGCTCGGGGCCTGGATGATGTCGTTGAGATCAGCTTAATAAAGTTGAGACCCTTATTGGAGTTTTGATTTTGCTGTTATTTTTTAAGAAGTATGGACAAGCATACCGATTCATTGTGGCAAACTGAAAATGTTTGACTAGATCGATATGCAGTATACCTAGTTATCATAAGCTTAGCTTTAGGACTCGCTACAAGATGATTAGATTCTTCTTTCTTTGAGAAGATGATACTAGGACTTATACCTACAGGCTATAGGGAATTTTTTTTCAAGTGAAAGAATCACTTCTCTGTGGATGATTGGTAAATTAGGACAAGAGTTTTCTCTTTACCATAGGATGAAAAATAATTCTATGGATGGTCATCCAATTATGAACACGAGAGAATAGAAAAGCAGTTAGGCAGATATTGAAATCTATCACTTCTCATTATTTTTTACATTTGGAAGTTAGACAATTTTTAATAATATTTTTATATTTTTATTATTTTTCTGATTTTTTTCTTCGGTGACCAGCCAAAGGTAGAAGAAAGGGAAAAAAAGAAAAGAAGAAAAAAAGAAAAAAATCGAAAAAATCGAAAAAACATTAAAATATTATTAAAATTTGTCCGCGTCGGCATTAGAGATGCCACATAGGCCGCCCGGCCGGCATCCACGTAGCAATATCTAGCCAAAATTAGTGGAAGAACTGAATTGGCATAAAGATGGAAGGTTTAGGACTCCATTAGCACCATAAAAAGGTTTAGAACTAAATTGGCACAAATACAAAAGGTTTAAGACTATTCTGACACTTTTCCCTAATAACTCCATAACCGGTCAAATGCATCCTTGAGTAAATGCATAATAACTTTGAAATTACACTCGCTTAAACAACATTTTAAGATCGGAAACAGCGTCATGAAGCTTACTCATGCATCTAACAGCCTCATGATGATCCAATTATTAGGAATTTGTACTGTAAACACTCGGTCTCGTCTAACCCTAGAAACCTGAAACACTCAAAACTCAATTCAAGTGCCTTGAATGGATTTAATGAAGATGCAAAATGACCAAAATTGCTATGGGTAGCACGATAATGAAGCCAATTTGGACATATAATTAACATCCAATTTGAAGCTTGTTTACTCAGTCATCAGGTAATTATTCCGAAAATTTATGAAACTTCTAGATCGAAATTCTCATGACCCAGTTCATATAACAACATGAAATTCACAGAGTAGAATTGATATGCAACATAGAACAGAACCCCCTAACTAATTTTGAGCATTAACAAGTAAAATTGTCGGATTGCATGACATGATTTTCAGTTCTCTTAGTCATGCCGAAATCTTCAAATTGTACATTATTGATGCACAGATTAAATTAGGGCGCGAAATTTACGGAGTATAAGAATCGCTGAATGCGTAACAAAAACTATAATTTAATTCTCCAAAATAACAAGCAAAATGGTCAAATTGCAAGATATCATTTCCAGTTTACATGCCCTTCAATATTTGAAATTCTCACGGCATAGACCAAGTTATAACACGAATTTTGCCAAGACGACTTGGCATAAAACGGGTAACTAAAATCCCATACCGATGTAAAAAATAAGCAACCAAAAGAATTGGATTCCAGAACTCGCCCATAAACCGTGAAATATATGCACTCTACATGTAATTACATCGAGATTATGCATCAAGTGAATTCTGAACCCATATATAGCTGCTCTTATACCACATGTAAGAAATTCAATGATCTAAAACTCATTTATAGAATTTACAATACCTAGTTTGGCCAATTATCGTCTTTGAATCGAGCAATATGGATAAAGCCATAAGTTTCATGACTAGGTTTTCCTCTCTTTCGCCCACCTTAGATGGTCTTAGTGGATAAACCGTAGGTGCACGGAATAAGGAGAGGAACGGAGACCATAACCTATTTATGTAGCATATTTTAATAGACTCGTCCATTATGGGTCATTGTTAAAATACTGGTCTTCATCTTCACTGATCGGCCAACCATTTACCGTAACCGAAATATGCTAAGCCCTATTTAATATGATCGCATCACCATAATTGCTCAATACAACATTCTCATATATTTTATAAATACCATAAGAGAGTATTTTTCAAGGACCAAAATATTATACAATTAATATTAGCCCGCATTTATAAAAATTTCAAACACATTATGGTCCAAAATTACCAAGAAAAAGTGTCAGAAAAGTCATAAACCTTTTGCATTGGTGCCAATTTAGTCCTAAACCTTTTTTTTTACCAATTGAGTTATAAACCTTTTGCCTTTGTGTCAATTCAGTTCTTCCAGCTAATTTTGATTGGATAGTGCTAACATGGACGCCGGCCGACTTACATAGCACCGTCGATGCTGACATAGACAACTTTTAATAATATTTTAATTTTTTTAAAATTTTTTAAATTATTTTCTTTTGTTTTTCTTTTTTTTTTCCTCCCCTCTCTCCTTACTCCAGTCGGTTGGCGAGGTCTGGCAAGCCACGCTGGCGACAAGCGAGGCTCACCCTTGCCGAATGGTCGCGAGGGCGGCCTCGCACTGGGCTGGCGAGGGCAAGCCTCACCAGTGGTCGGCGTGGCTCACCAGACCTCATCGGCCTGTGGCCTCTAGCTGGTCACCGGATCGGCAACTGGCTGGAGGAAGGAGGGAGGGGAGGAAAAAAAAAGAAAAAGAAGAGAAAAAAATAAATAAATAAAAATTCAAAAAATTATTAAAATATTATTAAAAGTTGTCAACGTCAGCACCAGCCTTGCCACGTAGGCTAGCCAACATCCACATTAGTAAAATCAGGCCAAGTTAGCTGGAAGGACTGAATTGGCACTACGTCAAAAGGTTTAAGACTAAATCGGCACAGAAAATAGATTTAGGACTAAATTGACACAAATGCAAAAAATTTAGGACTTTTATGACACTTTTCCCAAAATTACCATCTTCATGCTCGTGTTAGACCATGGATCTTTAAGACAAATGCTTTGGTATTTTCAAATGTTTTAATAGATTGGGTTATAATCAGTGCTAGCTGGAAAGAACTAAAAATTCGGCATTTCATAATCGAAAGAAAAAAGGTCTCTCATGTAGGATTGAACAATACTGAAAGCACATGCCGGGAAGAAACAATTGCCAATTGCCGTTTTTTTTTAGTCGGAAAAGCACTTTCATTCATTACTCATTCATGAAACAAGCTCTACTAGAGCTAGACAAGTTGGTTTCTGAACACAAAATATTCCAAAGGAGTTATGGGGGTAAAGACGACCAATTCGAAGGGACAGTCTTGTTCCTACGGGCCTTAACAATCCAATCAGCAATTTGATTAGCCTTGCGGGGGCGATGAGCAACCTTCACCTTAACCAAGTGGGGCCAGCAAAAACCGGCATTCCTCAATGATTTCTTGCATGGCTCATGGGCTTCACCATTACCCGCGATAAGCTCCACTAGTGATAAGCAGTCGGTGGCTACTACAGAGCACAGGTACAGAATTGACTCATTCACTGCCAGGGCTTCCGCGAACAGAACCGAGGAAGCTCGCACGCCTTTCGCTAAGCCAGCCACCAACATACTGCTTGAATCCCGAACAATTCCAGCAATCGAAGCTTCCGAGGCTCTGTCCGTCCACGAGCAGTTGGTATTGAGCTTGAGGAGTCCTCTAGCAGGCGGTATCCACTGTTCAGGTAAGCTCTTGTTTAAAGCGAGGGCGGCATCCACGATTGAGCTTGAAGAGTCCTCTGGCCGCCAATTGCCTCTTGACGGAGAAAATATTGAGATTTTTATGTACTTTTGGAGCCACCACGTGACGAGTCAAATCATTGAGACTTTCCCATGATTATATGATAGGAGAAGTCAATGATGATCACGACGTTAACTGGCTCTACAAATATTATAAATTTAAGTATTTAGGACATAATTGGTGCAATCAAGAAGTTTAAATCCAGTCGATGCGTTCTTTGCTAGGAACCCATGTGAATCACATGCAAAGTATTTACCACTTTTTATCATCATTAGGGATCACCGTGATAATCATGGTTAACAGGCTATAATTTAGAAAGGTCGCACAATGCAGCCCGCTTGTTATATGCACAAGTAACTGATAATCATTCATTACACAGCAAAGGTGCATCATAAAACTACACATGATGTACACGATGTTCAGAAAAGCAAGGAATCATAAGTTCAAAGGTCTTACCTAGTTGTGCGGAGGCACGAGAGAATTCAACAGGAAGAATCAATGCACAGAGATCAAATGAGAAGCCTGAGTAACTCGTGGCCTGTGAGGCTTTGGAGCTGAAATCAAAATATTAGCGTTCAGCATATATCTATAATACCCAAACAAAAAATAGATTCCACAATGTCATAAACAGCAAATGAATGGAAAAGGAGGGGAAAAATGGCAAACAGAAATGATATTCATGTTACAGGGTTCTATAGAACAGAGAAGAAAACCAAATTCCTTTTATCATTGCATAGACAAATTATTTCAATGCCATCTTTTTTGAATGTAATGAGTTTCCAAAGCTTTCTATTGATCATAGAAGCATGAAAAAATTATGGTCTGATCAGTCTCTTGAAATGTTTGCAACTAAAGAGCTCAAATTGGAGAATTGCTACACCAAGAACCATATATGTTTAGTAATTCACCATAGGGATCAAGGAAGAAGATATTTCTCTCGACGAGTCTAACCAATAGATTATCAACTATTAAGACACTGCACTTCATATTTTTTCCTTAACCAAGGACATGACATCCCATTTACCAAATGGCAATCTGGCTAAGAATACCCAATCTAGAGGAAAGTTATATTTGATAAACAGGGCATCTGAAAATTGGCCAAAAAAAATGACTGGCCATCTGAAATTCTTTAACCTTTGTTTACTGGGCAAATTCTACACCTATTCACGGCAACCATTGCATCGCTGAAAACCGCTCCACTCAAGCAACTATACTTAGTGTCAGTCTGGAAAAGCATACCCACCATCTCAAAATGAGCACCTTATACTTGATGGAAAAAACTTGTGAATGAGTTCTTATCCAACCAATGACACGCTAGTTCTACACTTGCAATTTCATTAACCCTTTGTCATCACAAAACATTCCATCGATTCGGCATTATTTACTTGGGATATGCAGATAATTCTCCAGACCAAGGATACAACATGACATTTTTACTGCAGTAAATGATTTACATAAGGACAAGTGTGTGTGCGTGAGAGAGAGAGAGAGAGAGAGAGAGAGAGAGAGAGAGAGAGAGAGAGAGAGAGAGTTGTTCAGCAAGATCTGCCCATCACCAAAAGCCCCAACTACAGTTCTTTATCTAGCTTGTCGAAAGAATTGATTGAAAGGTAGAAATAGAAAGAGGCTTCCTTAATTCTACTTAATCAATATGGAATGGATTGAGTGCTAGGACGACTGTAGTATTAGATTTTTTAAGAGTAATTAAGAGAGGTTGCTTCAACTTCATTTATTGATAAAGTAAACTTTGGTTTAAAAAGTAGAATTGCTCTATTATGCTAAAAAAGCCTCTTAACAAAAACATTTAACTAGAAAAAGAACTGTCATTTCCCTTAGGATACCTAATGTAAGTAGGTGCTAACTCCACTATTATAACTTTCTTTCGAACAAACAGCTCAACTGGTTAAAATGGTTGATCGCCCTTCATACCATTATAGTTTCCTTGTTCATAAAAATCGTGCAGAAGAGAAACCGCTTCAGATGCCATTATCCCTCCACAACATTTGAAACTCTTTGATCCAGAATTCCCATCACTGCAAGAGAAACAAGAAAAAAGTCATAGACATTCATCAATCAGGCAGACAATTGAAAGGGGAAACATAGATGAAATTTCTATGGAAACCAGCCAATGTTCCCGATGAGTCTGCATTTTTATCTAGTTCATCAACTTGAAACCCAGAACAGATTCCAATTTCAAAACGTGTCCAGATATCACGCTTAAAGATAATTTAGCAGACTAATTGACAAAGCACTTTGCAAAAGAAGGTACTATCTAAGCAAAAAAAACAAGTTTGCCGATAGGAGAATATGTTTTGTTTAAGAAGTTTACTTTTCGGTCCTAAGATTATCAATTTTAAGAAATATCTGTACTCCAGGAAATAGGTTTTCATGCAACCAATCATCTCTAAAGTGTACCATTTGATTCAATTGACAGTAACTAGGCTCTATTAGTGGCATTGACCTAGGCAAAATTCTTAGATCAAATCGAAAAGAGATGTGTGTTTGGGATAACTATGGCTTGAAATTTTTTACTTTAATATTGCCTTTGGGTGGTTCTACATTTTCTCTTCTACATAAAACCCAATGTCCATGGAGAACAAATAACATGCTGTAAACAGGGTGATACTTAGAGGCTTTTAATTCAGATGGGCAACTTCTCTTCAGAGAAATGTTGGCACCAGTGATCTGATTGAAATAAGATTTGTGGATGATTTGTATACTAGTACTGGCTAGGATGGGTTTCAATCAGCTATGTCTTCCAAACATCGCATAGGAACAATGCTCAACATTATTAACAACAGTCTCATACTCTCTATCATGAAAATATGCAATAATTAGGGCTAATTTTTTAGCTCCAGAGGGAGGAAATTGAGCAAGGTAGTCCTTTTTCTGCAAGATGAGTCCTCTTGCTTGATGTCGTATTCAGAAGGCAATGAGCTACTTCATGTTTCGCACAATATTTTCGACTCGTAATCAGATTACTAAGAGCAGCATACCTATAAATTTCAAGCTCTAAAAGAATTTCAGGGTTTATTTCCATTTCCCTAAATTTTTTGTTTAGATGCATCCTTAGCACATCTCTTGCTTCTTCTCCCTATGCTTGAGCTTGTTCTTTAAAAAATACTTGAATAGAAAAACAATGTTCATAATCTAGATTAGCTACTTCATGTACTGCTTAAATCACAATGAAACAGATCCTGTTTCACTACGTTCTAACTTTTGTGTCAACAAAGTTTGAATAAAAACTTGATAAGATTTAAACAAGCTTAGGAAACATGAAATGTTAGATCATAGCAGCATCAGACAGATGAAAAATCGTACTGGAAACACAAGCCACACACCACAACTTAGTAGGCACCTGCTTTCATGTATGCAAGAAGAGAAAATTGCAACTAATAATCACAAAAAGAGATTTCTTTGTCGAGTACATTGCCCATGGCAAATCAGAAAGCATAATTTACTCATAGACAAATTATTACATTTCTTTGCAGATTTCCCGATTTAAACATGATAACAGTAAGACATCAAAAAATCTCACTGCAGTGAGAAAATATGAGGAAGAAGAGATCAAGAAACAATATTAGCTTAACTTGTAGCACTTCCCAGAACTTTAAATCTTTTAGGGCATATAAAAAGTATACGGAAATGTCTAACAAGTCACAAAGAATTCAAGGAAAAGGAAACAAAGCGGGAAAATTTAGAATTAATATATACTTGACTCTTGACACTTCCGGAAACTCCACTTTCTTCCATTTAGACTAGGAAAAGGACAGAAAAGATGGAAAATCAGTTGCATAAACCTCCATTTATCTTCATGGTTATGTGTTGCCCTATTCATACAACATAAGGAATCATAAACCTCCAGTAAGCTTTGGTTTTCAATTATCATATGTCACAATTACAAACTGGAGCTAAATAAATATGAAATCAGCAACAAAAGCAAGTTCAGAAATGCATGCCTCAGAGCTACTTTAATGCAACGCCAGTATTGAGCCCCAGCCTCCAAATTTATCATTTGCACAGCCATAATATACTTTATACCTAAAAAGGGGTTAGAGTCATCTAATCATTTATGAATAAACCAATTCTAGGAAAGTTTAGTTTTATTTCAGTATGACCAAAATATGTACCAATGATCGATAATGCCGCTGCACACATTATGCATGGTTCACATGTCACATGAAGGGAGCATGCTGAAAACTTCTCTTCAACTTCTGCAGCTAAAAATCCAGTCCTCAGCCACTGTTCCTGAAGGACATCAAGAGCTTCCATCTCCGCATGTCTTGTTGCCCATGCAAGCGCAAGGAGAAAAACAAAGCAAGCATATCAAATTTAGGAGCTTTGTCAGAAAGACAGTTTCTCACAGTTTAGGTTAACATAAATATAGGAAATGCATTTCATGAGAAATGTTTTCTCGTTCAAGTTAACTGATTAAGAGTATATATAAGATTGATTAAGGCATATACTACATGAACTTAACAAGATTGCTCGCTTGAAGTTGCTGAGAAACTCATATCGAAAAAAGAGGCTTCTTACTGGATTGGCCACCTCTACCTTTTCTAGCAATATTTATATGTACTCCTGTAGCAAGGTGCCTTTGTTCTTTCGTATGCTGCACAAGATACTAAAAGAACCAAATATTTTCGTATCAACTATTCATTACTGTCCACAAATCATTTATAGTAGTGTATTGTCACCATAAAACTAAAAATAATTGCAGCAATAGACTATTAGATAGGATATGATCTCTACCACAAACCAGGCTTAAACTATTTGTGTACATGTGGCCATTGTATGAAGAAATGTGCCCAAGGAGTTGTTTCTTACATCTTAAAAGGCAATACTGAGCTCACAATGCATTTTTATACCAAGCAAGAATACCAAAGTCTAGCTAACATACAGCCTAAGAAAACAAAGTTAGGAACTTCACAAAAGTAGATAAAGACCATACTATGGTTCTAGACAGAGCATAATAGAAAAACGCAACACATTGTGCATAATAAAGCAAGAATATCACTATTGTTAGCCTTAGTCATATCTTATGAAATAATAATGGGAACAAAACCCTTTACAGGCTAATAATGCATTGAAAATTCTACTATTAATAGATTTGTTCAGATATACTATTGTATGATCTATTAAAGAAATAATTAAGGGAGAAACATAAAACGAGTAACAATAATCTACAAGTGGATAGTTTGAGGGTATCAATTCAGACCACTAAATACATACTGTTGACCAAAATTTATAGAAGGGGGTGGAGAAGCAATGATAAACATACATTTCGTGGCTCATTAGTCCGGTTTCTTCCTGCCACAATTACGCTCCCATCCTCAACATCACACAGCTGTTCAATCAAAGTACATTATAAATAAATAGAGTACACTGCGAAACCCATTCACTAATTTAGATTAAAACACTAATCATCTTAATTAGAAAATAAAACAACATATCTGAAATGCACCTAGTTACTGAAAATCAGTTTCTTACCCAACTGGAACTTCAAGGCTGTCCAAAGCAAGCTTGCCATATATAAGAAAAGGAAATTGGTCTTGTTACTGGTTAGTAGAAGAAAACATGAGGAAAAGTGTCAAAAATTCTCTCATGCATGCACGCATGCATTCAGGCAATTCAAGAGGAAATCAGCATCAAATTGCTGCCAGTAGAAATATTCAGCACGTCTCATAGCTATGGATGGAACGAATGCATGTCTCATAGCTATATGATCAAGATCTTGCAGGTCCTGTATAATATACTGGTCACAACCTTCCAAGCAATGGTTATTACCACATACTCGTTCTGTAATTCTGATGCAAATCCCATCTAACTCTTAAACTGATATGGCTCTAACACACTAAAGCATTAATACTAGGTTTCACTCAAAGTCTCAACATTCGAGAAGCTTCCAAGAGTTTTAGCTTCTATGTCATTTTCCATCATAAATGCTATGGCATATAAGGATGAAAAGAGAAGGCTAACTGTTGTGAAGGCCTCGGCAATCAGAATTGACAATCAGCTTCTAGGGCTTTTGTCTCTATTCTTCTGAAGAACTTATGTAAACTCCACGTTTCTAGCGATTTTTTCTTTTTAATACCCACAGTCCACAGGGCAAAAGAAAATAACCACCTAACCAGTTATTTATGGGAACTGGTGTTCATATAATTCTCATGCTCCAAGTAAATTTGATTTTCAATTCTCCCTAGTTGCGAAAGTCAACAAGTGGTAAAAGAACTCGACTGTCAAGCAACCTTTCCTGGTGGCTTGCCATCTCACTGCATCTTCTTCTCTATGGTTTTGCCTTTTCAAGGGCCTCATGAAACATAGAGAAGAGCCCCATCCTAGGAATCGAAGTCTCTCACAATATAATAGTCCCGGAAAACCTATCACGCTCTACACATATGTATTGTTGCCGAAGCCAAGCAATTGAACAGTAAAATTGACAGAATAAAGAAAATAAATCGGACACCAGATTTATGTGATTCGGTTGTAGCGACCTACATTCACGGGAAGAACAGCACGAAATTCCACTATAGATCAAGCGATACAATGAAGATTACAACCACACTCGAGTCACTCAAATACTATAAGTATTTTCTAAGCCCCAATTATACCCAATAACTCACACTGTGTTTAGCTCTACAATTTCTCATGAAATAATATCTCAATCTTACGAAGAAATTATACACAAATCTTACCGCAAGAATTTAATCGGCTTCAACACATTAACTTCATGGATGTAATTCACGAAGAAAGACCCACGCCAAGCACTCGGTTGAACACGGCGCTTCACTGCACCCACATCAACGACCGCGCTTCAAGACTTCGCTAAAGCTTTCCCTGACCCATGAGCAATATATATCCTAACACGCGTGGAATGAAGTTCTTGGTCAGTAAAGCAATTTACGTGCGATTCAAACCTTATCCAATGCAGAGTCCAAATTCGGTCAAACCATTGGACATTCCTTTTTATTTCTTTTGCTTGATCGTGACTTCAGCTTCAAGATTCTGACGTCCAGAAGACTAATTTGTGTGCCCCGAAGAAGAGTTTATATTGCTCAATTTCGGACGTCCGTAAAAATATCCAGTTCAGAATATTCATACCTCCACAAATAATAATTAATCTCGGATCGAATTTCGTCTATCGGGCTCAAACTCGAGACATATTTTAACATGTATGAATTGTACATACTACACATCCACATTTCCTAGACACCTCAGAGGCACCAAAGTCTCTCTCTCTCTCTCTCCATCCAAATTGGCTCAGTTCTTCGCCTGAAAAGCGGACTGAACCTACTACCCATTGTTTCACTCTCCCTCAATCGTTTTTCCTTTGAACCTAGACTTCACCTACTTCTTTAAATAAGTCGCCACCTATGAAAAAAGAGACAATACCTTCTAGGGATTGTTGCTGATATTGCAGCGTGTAATGTTGATTACCAATGAATTCACCACCAAGCATCAACAGACTAAACTTACGAAGAAACACTAATTGAACGTCTCTCGAACAAATTCAACCACACATTCTTCAAGTTCCCGCGCAGTTGTAGCACCAAACAAATCGAATTCAAAATCCAGCTCAAGTATCACATCAACTAATACAATTCGGATGTGCCTGCTGTTACCTGATCTATAGCAAGCTGCATGACGACCGGTACCTCAGGAGAGAATCGTTCACCCGAAGCTACGTCATCAGTTTCCATGGCTTTGGTCCGCAGTGGTAATCCGTTGCCCCCCGCTCTGTCGCCATCAGTCCGCTAGGGACTCCGTTACAGGAAGACGAACTTCCTCTTCTTGTCGCTTCCGTTGGCAGGTGGCAATCTTCCATTCGTCAGAGCTCGGTGGTGCCGGATTGAAGGTGAGAAGTCGTGATGCTCAAAGTGGATCGATGGGGTTCGAAGTTTGCCTGTGGCGGAGAAAAGAGTATTTAGCCAAAAATTAAAAAATAAAGAAAAGTGATGAAAGAGAAGAAAGAATTACAGAATTTTATTTAAGATATACAGTCAACTCAGGTAAAATTCTGTAATTCTACGAAAACAAGAAGAAAGAATGCATTCTAATCAAGATCGACGAGTTCACTAACCTACGAATTGCTTCATTGGCAAGTTTCTCGATCATTCTAACAACAAAAGCAGCGAGCAAACACTGCCATACTCGTCTCTGCCAATCGAATTAGAAGTCCACATGGTCTTGGGTCGCATTCCTCGAGGGAGAAAAGCTCGTGATTTCTCTTTAGTGCTATTTGACTATGTTCCTCAATACTCATTTGACAATCTTGCAAGTCTTCTTGAGGATCTGCTTCGCTCGAATTATTTTCGTGTATAAGTGAACTCTCGGATTCTAAATCTATTGAGTCATAACCAATCTCATAGAGGAAAGCTGGATCCATTAACTGGTTGTCCTGGAGCATAATCTTTAAATTGTCATTTAGTTGCTTGCATATTATTCGGAATCCCCACTTTTTCACGAGTCCACCCGATACTCTAAGGCTAAATTGTACCCAACTCCCATCACTTTTACCAAAATCGACTACTCCCCACAGTTTAGACGGTATAAAATACTCAAGCCAGATACGATTTGAATCTGTATACAAGGGATCTTGATATGGTAGATCGTAATCCTGCCTTTTGCCATTAACACGCGGTTCAATCCTAAATTCGAATCTCTCTTGTGCATCATTACCCTGCTCATCATTACTGAGAATAGCACAGAGAGCAAATCCAAGTAACTTGTCATACAAGTCCTTTGAAGCCTGGAAAAATACGGAATCCTCGTCAATAGGGAGGACCCACTCAGGCATCTCTCCTCTGGGGAGACAAATCATGTAACGACGAGGATTCTGTTATAAAGATAGAGCATTAGAAAATACCGAGCTAGTTATTAGTACCCAAATAAATAATTTAATCTGATTTTTAGTACGTAATGCTAGTGAATTCTACTCCGAACTGGAGCTCTATAAATGAGTAGAGATCCATGACCCTCGCTTGCATTAATATACGAGTCTCATGTGATAGAAATCATTCCCATGTAAGTACGGTAGCCACCTCCACTGCAATGCATTTGGCATATTCTGTATATTATATATATATGCAACATTTTCCATGTTCTTGGTTTTAAAAGTATTGTTAGTCTCAACTCAATGCCATATACTGATTATTCACGCCAAGATATTGCCTATATGGTGAGACATTTCGTTTTTGTATTGGTTTTCATTTTACACCATGCACATGATAACTGATTTAAAGACCGCCATTTGAAATTATGTTTTACCATGTGATCTAGCCATATCAATTAATGCCCATCTAAAAACGATAGAAATTACCTTTTACATATAGTAATATGCTATGTAAGTTAATTATGCCGCTATGTTTTCTAACTTTATTTGATTTTTAATTAGTGAATGGTTAATGGCCAAAAAATTAGTAAATGACGAAGTTTCTGCTAACTATAGAAATGAATTTTTTGAGTTCTAGACCTAGAGAACATCTATGTTATCTATTATTTGACACCCCTCGATATTTCCTTTAATGAAACAGATGCTGGGGGAAGAAAATGGAGGCAATGATGGTGCAGCACACGGCATAACCATAGTACCCTATTCTGTCCAACTTTCTATCGAAGAGGATAACAAGTGGTAATCATGGTTATCCTCTTCGATCAAGGCCTAAGTTAAAATCATCACATTGGTATATTTTCTTTGTGTTGCTCCCAGCAGCATAGACCTGTATGTTCCTGGTAATTACCCAGTGCTAGTGGGTCTGCTATATGGGGAACTGCCCCATCTAGTGGTGATTAGTTGGGTACTGAAAAAACTCTGGTATACCACATTGATATAAAAAAAAACACTTACATTCTTTTGATAGTTTCTCTTTTGAGAATGCATATTGATATAAACAGTTTTACCTCACTTTATATTTGTTTGCTTTTCTTAAGCCTCCAATCTTGCATTTTCTGCTATTGCAATATACTCCACATGGATATGTGTGTTGGAGAGAGAGAGAGAGAGAGAGAGAGAGAGAGAGAGAGAGAGAGAGAGAGAGAGAGAGAGAGAGAGAGAGAGAGAGAGAGAGAGAGGTCTAACCTCAAGTGGGGAAATGTTAGCCATGCTCAACCCTCTATGGACAAAATTATGAAATGAAGTTAAATCTCCAATTTTTTGCAAAGATTCGCAACCATCCGCCAGAAGACAATTCAAAAGTGGTGGAAGCTCAGGAATCTCTTGTAACTTATGGCAACTTTCAACATGCAATAAGGACAAACGATCCCGCTTATTGATGGATGTAGGAAGGCTAGTAATATTGTTCCACGCCAGAATTAATGCTTCTAAGCTGGGAAAACATGAAAGATTCTCAAGAAACTCTACTTCGAACAGATTGCATCCCACAAGGTTTAACCAGCGTAAACTTGAAAGTCCAGTCTTCATGGGATCAGCCGAATCCTCGTACTTTGGGAACCGAAATAAATTTGTGCAATCAAAAAGTACCAACTCTTCAAGGTTTTGTAACCCGTAAATGCTAGACGGAAGACTTATCAGGTTCTTGCAACTACATAAATCCATTTTCTTCAAAGAGACAAGATTTTCTATTGATTGAGGAAGTTCTTTAATAGCGGTCCCTTCTAACCAAAGCTCTTTCAAGCCTTCGAGTTTATGTGGAATATCAGGAAACCTTTCAAATTTTGTGCATTTTTGAAGATGGAGAGCTCGAAGGTTTTTTGACTTGAGCATATTTGGAAAAACACTAAGTTCAGAGCAGTTCCTTAAATTCAACACCTGTAACTTGTCATGATATGCAATCGACTCGTGGGCTTCTACCAAGCTTTTGCATCCCCCAAGATCCAATTCCTCGAGATTTGGAGTACATGAGAGGTCGGGCATACTAATAAGCGACTTGCAGTAACTGAAATTAATGTACTTCAATTGTTGGAACTCCTACAAAAACAGCGAAACCACCTTCGATAAACATTCCCATAATTAATATACTTTTAAGGATTCTCATCCTTAGGAAACAACACTCTTCATGGAGAAGGAAGCAAGGAGCATCGTTAGATCAGGCAACTTAGAACCTACTATTCAAGTTTCTGAGTAAATTTCTTAACCTACTAATTAACTTGTAATTCAAAGTTGCTATAAATTGATTTCGTGTAAATTATATATTGTATTGAGAAATTACAAAACACTTAGAAAATTTACCATTAATTTCAAATATATATTATATATAATATTGGATAAATCTTGCACGAGGTGGAGTCATGTGGCGCACTCACAAGCGAGTTTTACCCAGCAATTTAGTTTTAATGATCACTTTAGCAAATCAAAGATAACTCTTATCATTTTATGCTTTAGATATTATTTGAATATATAATGATATATGCATACACAATATAAAAAAAAGTTCACATATAAATCATAATAGACAATCATTAAAAGAATTAGGGTTAATACCATTAAAAATCTCAAATCAATACACAATTTTATCCCCGGTAAATTTTATTCTCATAAATAATCACAAACTAATACCGTCATGACATATTTATCTCAAACTAATTTTCGTTTTATAAAAAATCCCAAACTTGTATCCTTAGCCCAACTTTACCCTCCTTCGTTAGCAGACAAAAATTAATTTTGGATAAAATTATGGCATGTGTTATGCCATGTGGCAATCACAAAATTAAAGTGAAAAGCCATGTGGTGAGCATGTGGATTTACACCACATGACAAAAATATGTGTTTCATGTCACATGGCAACCATAAAAGCAAAGTGAAGTGTCACATGGGCAAAGTGAAGTGTCACATGGCGAGCATGCGAATATGGGCCACGTGACAAAATTATACCCCATGTCATGCCATGTGGCAACTACATAAGCAAAGTAAAGTGTCATGTGGCAAGCACATAAGTGAACACTCTATTAGGTCCGGCTTTAACTATATATAGATGAATGTCAAGAATATAAATTTATCACAATGAAATTTCCTAAATGTTAATAAACTAGCTTTTTTTGAAATCATGCAAAGACAGTGAAACCAACTGTGAAAAACATTTGGAAGAAAAAAAAATTCATATATTCAATTCAAAATCTGAGTTTGACTTGTTATTAAGAAACTAGTGGTATGCCCCTACTGAGTCACTTATATCAAAGTAGTTGTGCGAGCATTACATGCATTACCAGCAAAGTTTCTAAAATATTTTTGGGATAAGTACACTAAAATTCGTAAAATTTGTCACAAAAGTGTAATTGAGTCTTCATACTGACATTGCGTTTTTTTCTCTCTCTCCTACATGGTGCTAACATGGCTAAAACATGAAATATAAGGTTAAAACGTCATTTTGGTCCAAATCCTATTTTGTAACGTAAATTTTAGTTAAATTAAATTAAAAATAAAGGCTAAATTAAAAAAAAACACAAAAGAAAAAAAAAGAAGGCAGGCGAGGGGTTTGTTTAGCCTTCATATTTTAATTAAAAAGTAAGATTTGGACCAAAAAAACGTCGTTTTAGCCTTATATTTTATGTTTCAGTCACATCAGAGCCATGTAGGAGAGAGAAAATAATAAAAAGTTATATCAGCATTTTCCGTTAGCCAAGTTAGACTGTAACAGTTTGAATTTTCGATCCTTTTCCCGGGATTTAAGAAATGAATTTGACCAATGCACTATAGTGAGGTCTCACCCGGAAATGCGCATTCACGGGATGCTAACCTTAGGGGTAGGGCCGTTACGGGATTGAGTTCGCACGACCAAAGAACTCGACCTGGGTTCGACTTCGACCATATCGATTGACGAGGAAATGTTTTGAGCCAACCGAGACCGATCTATTTGATTGATCGTGTCCAAAGGGCACTAGTGACAGACCCTCGCAATTATATGACAACCGAGGTCGTCCGGGTGGAGTAAACTTAAACGTGATTTGACTTAGTGTCGGTCACGGGTCGAGAGCGCGTAATTCTAGAGAGCCACCCGTTAGCCAGAGATAAGCTAAAGTTGCTATTGCTCGATTTTAGTCATTTCTTGGAATTCGGGCCCGGGAATCGAGAATTTTGAAAGTGACAATTTTGGACGGCCGATGACGTTTTTGGCTTGGCCAACCTTGGGGCCACCCATTTCTGCAAAAAAAATGGATTTCGGTCCGGGACCGGAAAAATTACGGTTTTGCCCCTGTGGGCACCGAGGCTGGATTCGAAGGCCGTTTGAGGTTATTTTTCGCGGCCAAGGTCATTTTGGGGTGGCCACGCACATTCAGAGTGGTTTTGGCCAAAAATTGGAATTTCGACAAAAATTGGAAAAATAATATTATTTTATTCCCGAGACTTTGACGTGGATTTTCGAGGGCTTGCGCGATGAATTTCGCGATTCCGACGCCATAATATGTTGGCCACGCACATATGGAACACGTATGTGCGAAAATTGGAATTTCGGTTCGGGATCGGAAAATTCCGAAAATGCCCCTAGGCCATTTTTGATTAATTCCGAAAATTGGATTTAATTTTGGGATTAACCAAGGTGAGTTAAGGCCAAACCAGGTCTGGTCAACCATGGTTAAGAGCAAATGACCATTCTACCCCTAAATTATTGGATTGGATCAAATTTGGGCCCTTGGATTAGGGGCAAAATTGTCCAATGGGCCTAGATTGTGACACTTGGATCCCACTAAGCTATCTTTGACCTATTTGACCAGACCTCTCTCTCTCCTCTCAGCTATTTGGTTATTTTCCCCCGTGCAAGTTCTTCTTCTTCTCCGTTTCTTGTTCTGCAGATTACGTTTCTGCCATTTCCGGTACTGTTCACGCCGGAACAGTACCAGCCGGTGCTGCCCCCACCAAGCCAACATCACCAGCAACCATTTCCACCTCTGTGCAGCCACCACAGCCCCGGTTTTTGTCCAAAACAGCCTTGTTTCTCTCTTTTTCTCTTTCCCGGTCTGCAAACAGTACCGCCGGAGCTTCGCCGGAGCTCCGATCGCCGTTCCGTCGACACCCAGCCGTCCAGCCTCGCCGTACGTCGCCGTCCACCACCGTCCGTACAGCGTTGTCCGTACGGTACTGTTCACACGTCCGTACGGATCACTGTTCACGCCGGACCGTCGGACGCCGCGGCTGTCACCGGCACCTCGCCGGCCACCGTCCCAGCCTGTCCGCACGGTGTCCGTACGAAAGCACTGTTCACGCCGTCCGTACGGGGCGCACTGTTCACGCCGTCCGTACGTCCTCCGGCGACGCTGCTGCCGCTGTCCCGGCCCGTTCCAGCCCCGTTCTGTCTCGCCTTTTTGGGTAAGTGTTTTCCCCAAATGTCATTTAGGACCTCGGGTATTTCTAGACTCGTTTGAAGTTCGGTTTAAGTGATTTTAGGGACTGTTTGCTGGCTGTGATGTGCCGTGTGATATGCTGTGAGTGGCTGTTCGATACGCAGTTAGTACCATTAGGACCGGCTCGTAATTTTATGAAAGTGCCGTGAAGAGCCGGGAGTGAGATATGGTGATTTTGAGGGCGAAAAAGACTGATTGATGGCTGTGGTGTTTGGTTTTAGGTGCTGTGAGGTGCTGTTTGTCGTGTGGTTGGTACTGTTAGGTCCGGCCCGAGATTTTGTGAAATTGTCGTGAAGGGCCTGAACTGATTTGATAACGTTTGGGTGTGGAGAAATGCCAGTTTGTGTGTTGATCGTGTGTGCTGTGATATGACTGTGTGGTTGTGGCTGATTTGGGATTGTGCTTGGGCCGAATGTGATGTGGTGCTATGCCGCGTGTGTGGCCGTGAGGTGTGGCGGCGTGGACATGTGAATGTGCATTGAGTTCGTGTGCCGAGTGTGGGTGATCATGTGGTGTTCGTGTGATGAGAATGCGTGTTTGTGAAGTGTACGTGAGATGTGAATTTGGTGCGTGGCTATGTATGTGTGAGGCGTGTATGTTTGGCCGTGCGTGTACTAGTCGTGCGTAAGTGTGGTTTGAGTGGAACGAGGATATGGAAATGTGGTTTGGTTGGAAAGGTCCGTCCTGAGGCGTGTACGTTTACGCGGGACGATGCCGTCCCTGACGAGGTGACGATGCCCGGCCCGACGGGGTGTCGATGCCTGACGTGGTCAGAAGACCGTTGGCCTGATGCGTTTTACGCGGGCGCGGTAGAAGGAAAGTGTGTGTAGGATTCCGTCCTGAGGCGTGTACGTTTACGCGGGACGATGCCGTCCCTGACGAGGTGACGATGCCCGGCCCGACGGGGTGACGATGCCTGACGAGGTCAGAAGACCGTTGGCCTGATGCGTTTTTACGCGGGCGCGGTAGTGGTGGAAAGGTTGAGAATGAGTGGGATTTGGCAAGACAAGCGAGAGGATTGTGGAAAGTGACGCATGGTGTGAGTAGCGTGCGAGTGTGTTTGTATCGCGTGATGTGATGCTTAATTATGGGGTAGAAACTGCTAGGCACGGTATGGGACGTGCCCAAGTGGTTTTGTCTTATAATTGAGGCACGCGTCTGTGATTCCTTGTTGTGATGTGTTGGCTGTGTTATTGTCTAACGTGCGGGAACGTGCGTGATGGATTCCGGTAGGGTCGCATGTGATTGTTAGTTTGGCCGATCTTTGTGTGTTATGTGTGTTTTCGTGCGGCGGTACGTGAGTGCCTACGTGGGGTTTGGGGTTGTACACTTATTGAGATTCGTCTCACGGTTGTATAACCGCCACTTTCGACCCCGGCCCTAAACCCGGAAGTGCGCCTTTTCTTTTTGGAAGTCCGGGAGCCGCTGTTGGTGCCCAGTGGAGCTGCAGGTGAGTTCCAGAGTTTCAAGCCAGAAATTCAGAAGCAGACTAGACGAGGGCGATCCTTAGGTTTTTCCCTAGGGTTTTAGGGGTTGTGTAAATCGGGTTGACCCATAGGGAAGTTAAGTTAACCAGACCTCGATCTTTTGTTTAAACGGTGACTGAGGATGTTAGTCTGTATTTATGTCTGGAATATGATGTTTGTATATTTGGTGTTGTATGAATATGTGGTTGCTGGATTGTTCTGTTGTTCTACCCCGTTGTCGTCATTATTTGTCCGGGGTTTTATTATTCGCTTCCGCATGTGGCTCTGATGTTTGGGTTGGGTCGGCGACGTTCCTGGGACGTCGCATCATTTCGACCGGAGCAGGGGATGTTGCGAGCTCGATGGGGTTCGGGGCGTGACATAGACGAAATTAACATAAGGATTTGATTGCACTAATTTGATAAGTTTTAGGATTTGAATGCACTTTTAGAAAGTTTTAGAACTAAATTGCACTTTCATGGCAAGTCTTAGAATTTCTAGTGCACTTATCCCAATATTTTATTACGTTTACATAGAAATGCTGCTCCTCAAGTACTGATTTAAGCAATCAATATTGACTTGCTTTACAACATGGTGCATTCAAACCTTGGACTGAGCTAATTCTATTAATGCCGTTCACGTATGTGCATTGGGTAAGGTTCCATCACTTGATGGCTACATGGCCTCTAAGGAACCATTGAGTGAGACATGCTTACCACATCCAAATTAAACGCCTGACCACTCGGCCAGCTACTCCTTGGGTGTTTTTGTTTCAGTTTTTGTTTAATTTTTTGGTCGATCATTATCCAATTTTATATTAAATAAAAAAAAATTATGTAACCAGCCGACATAGTTAGAATTAGGTTACACAACTCACACTAGCAGATTTGAATTTTGAATTTCTTTACTAGCAGATTTGATTTGATTTTGAAATATAACTATGTCGATTGTTAAAGATATTAGGTTCAGAAAGTATTCCAACTTTATTTATTCTATGATATAAAGTAAAGATAACCTTCTTTTTTTAAGGGATTTCAATCTGTTTTTTATTCCTTCCATCAATTATCCTCACTTATTTTATAGATATCATACAAATGGAAAGATGTGTGAAATTGGTTATTCTATTTTGGCTTACATATTTCAACTTTAAAATTTAAATTTTCTTATGATGCAATGACCATTAAAAAAAAATTCAAATCTTGGAATATCTTTCTTTTTCCACATATAATTGCAAAATTTCTTTGTATTGTGCACTTTATCAACAGCATATTTCCATTAAATGTTTCTAACGAAGTTGTTTTGCTTAATTTTTCAAATGCCAATTTTGCTGCACATAAAATATTAAACGCAAGTACTTACGGTCGTTTGAAAGAAAATAAGGAAGTGGTTTCTAAAACATAGGAACACCACTTCCTTCTGTGTTCTGGTACATATAATACGCATATATACATACAAATGAAGTAGATAAGAAAAAGGTCAATGTAAGTAAATGCTCACCTTAAGTTGTTTTGGCACTACTGTGATACTGCTTTCATGCATATCAAATCCCACTAATTTCTTTGGATCAGATGAAAATTCTGGAATCCAGGAAGTACATCCATGCGATCCAAACCATCTTAGCTCATTAGGAAGACACATAGGACCTTGGAAAGAAACATTGCGCACAATGAGCAATCTCAACCTTCTCATTTTAGTAAAAGCATCACCACCGATACATATTTGTTTAAGCTCAGGTGGCTCCAACACTATGGCTTTTACAGCACAATCTCCCTGTATATACAAGACCATATAGGTTATGCCTATTCAGTAATTAGAGTAAAAAATAAGGAGCAAAATTTTGATTTTATTTGTGAGTCTTACAATGTCACGTGAAAGAACATCGAGAACATCGTCATACTGCCATAATCTGCTACGTCTTCCAGGATCATCTCGACATTCTTGGTTCACAATATCTATCCCCATTGCTTGAATCAAGTCATGCATTTTTAGGCCTCCATACTCAATGCTTATTAAGGACCTCTTAATGAGTATATCTAATCCTACAGTTGTATGTAGATCGCAACTGTCGAGGACTTTCTTTGTGTACTCTCTAGCCCGCCCCTTAAAGAAGCAGGCAATATGGAGAAAGATCTCTTTCTCATTTTCGTCTAGTCCATCATAACTTATTTTGAGCACATCATTAATGGTTTTGTCAGGAATCCTAGAAAGTTTCTTTAATGTACTTTCCCATATATCTTCTGTTGTACCATATAATAAGGAACCTAGAACCACAAGTGCTAAAGGAAGGCCTTTAGCATGATTCAGAACACTCTTCACTAGATGTGTCCTAATTTCTAATTTTTTGTGTCTCGGAGAAGCATGATTCCTAAGCAGCTCATGAGCTTCACTGTAACCCAATGGTTTAACTTCATACACATGATCTTGATCTATCCCATGACAAGTTAGCAACTGTCTATCTCTTGTAGTAACAATGATCCTACTTCCATTACCAAACCAGTTGCCTTCTCCTACTAAAGCATCTAATTGGCGCAAGTCATCCACATCATCAATGAGGAGGAGAACTTTTTTGCGACCAAGTCTGTGTTGTATGATATTAATACCTTCATCAACATTGGACACTTCTAATCTTTGTTGCGGTAATAATATATCATTTAGGAACATTTCTTGCAAGGTAACTAAACCCCGGAAACCTTTTGAAGTCTCTCGAACATCTGCTAGAAAACATGAACCCTCAAATTGTCTAAACATAGTATTGTAAAGGGCTTTTGCTAAAGTTGTCTTGCCTATGCCTCCTGGTCCCCATAATCCCACCATGACAACATCATCATCAGAGTCAAGGTTGAACATTGATTTCAACTTAACCACTTGGGACTCTATCCCAACCGGATGCTTAGCAACTTGCAAATGTGTTCGGTTTAGGTGAATGGAGATCTTCTTCACAATGCTTTGTATAAGCTCTGACTCATCTCTGACAAAATCATAAAAAGAAGTTGTAGAATCGTTTTAGCAATTTGAATAAGCAAATAATGAGCAATTGCTAGTTAACGATGACAAAGCAGTGCGTCACAATTTCAGATAATTACAGCCAAAACAATATGTATTTCCACCGAGTCAAATGTGAACTCCGAGAGCTCCACACCAATCAAAACATGTATCTATCTACTTAAGTGATTCATGTTCTTGTGATTTAGACATATGACGATTCACTTATTTTTCTTTTTGACTGTCATACGTAATTTATTTCTAAGTTTAGTCAAAAAGAGCCATTTAGGACTTTGAATGATGGTTAATATTTTGATTCCAAAAGAAAATTCCCCAAAGCACGATGTCATTGCTTTACATGGCCTACACACACTAATTATCCCGTATGAAACATTGCGAACTTCCTTATTCCTTCCAAACAAATGGGGTAAGTGCAACAACACTATTTAACATTTTGTGCATTTGTCAATCAAGTTTTAACATTTTATTTTGATCAAATGAGTTCAGTCAAATTTTCAGCCGATGAAGTGCTAGTGTCAATTTTTTATTATTGAAAAAGTTACGGGTTCGTTCTATGGATAGCCACATGTGATTTTTTGAACTTAAAGTGCCACTTGTGACAAGTTGAGGACTCAGTTGACCAAAATCGAAAATTTAGAGAACTCAATTGACCAAAATGAAACGTGAAGACCTTAAAGCCCAGAGAGAAAATGTTTAGAACTTTTATTACACTTTGAGGAGGGCAACAACGATCCAAAAGAAAGAGCTACATACCTTACCCGAATGAAACAGGGCTTAGCTAAAGCTAAAGGCAGAATTCTATTGTTTTGATGCCCAAAAATAGGTTTATTTTCGTGACGGTGAATTTTAATAAATATTGGTAAGTGTCAAAAAAATGTCGGCGAAAAAAAGATTGGTGACTTTTTCTTTCACATAACTTGTTAGTAACTTACCAACAATTTTTTGAAATCACCAAATTCTTTTTATAATTAGCACATGACCCATTTTGTACTAACTTACCAAATTTGATTTGCATAACTCATGGCCTCAAATTTACTAACTTTTATTTGAAATTACTAACACAAATTAGAGTAACTTACCATCTTTGATCATATTAAATAAACCTACTAGTTTTGGATTACCAACTTTCACTGAAGCTACTTACCAATGTTTACTTGTTCTTTTAATTTGCCAACTTTTCTATTGGGTTACTAGCTCTCATTTGAGTTATTTACTAACTCATTTTTTAAATTGTCAACCTTAATTAGACCGACTTACCAATTTTTGTTCGATTAACAATTCTTGTTTGTGTTACTTGCCAAGTTTTTTTTTTAATTATCAATTTTTCTTATGTTTTGCCAATTTTTATTTATCTTTCTTAACTACACTTAGATTCACCAATTCTTTTATGAAATTACTAACTTAAACTTAAGAGACTTAGGAATTTCCAAGAATCATAAGATGAAGCATCTATATATATACTTACAATCATGTGTGCATCGATTTATTTATTTATCTATTTATTTTTTAAAAATGATCTTTATATTTACTTGTAAAGATTACTTTTCTTACAGATTTTCTTATAGAAAATATGGACTCCACTCTACTTACCCATCAGTCAAATGCCACCCGGACAAGTTACCAACATCGAAAAGAGCTTTCTTCCATCTCTTCACTTTCTCTGAATCCTTCCCAAACTTGGACTCATGCTTAGCCAGAGCTCTCCGATAACTCTTTCTGCCCCCTCTCACTTCTCTTGGGTCCACTTTATAAAACACTGGTAGAACGGTGAGGTTCTTTTGCTCCTTGCATTCCATAATCTTCGCCACCTCTTCCAAGCACCACCATGAGGAAGCATAGTCCTCGGAGAAAATGATGACTGCAATGCACGATTCTTCGATGGCCTTCATAAGCGCTGCCGATATATGGTCTCCCTTTCTCAATTCCTCGCTATCACGAAAAGTGTATATTCCATTCTGGTCTAAAGCTTTGTAGAGATGACCGAGAAAGTTCTTACGCACGTCCGCACCTCTGAAACTCAAGAAGACGTCGTAAATCTTTTTGGGTTTCGATGAAGAAGCCATTGGATGATGGAGTTCTAACAATCGGAAACGACTTTTAGCAGAAGATTTGAAACTGTGTTTTCAGGTAGTTCATCCACCACTTGATCTTCTTGTTGATTTACTCTTATGCTAGAGGTGAGAGATGCATGACTTTCTTCGGGTACGGTGAACAAAGAATAATATTAGAAATTTGTAAAATAAAACCGCGTAAGACCGCGTGACTCAGGCTTCTTTGTGGCCGACAAAAGTAGGGACTAGTAATAGATCACAAACCGACAAACAACTTTGGTGGTCTTCCTCGAAATTTCATCCCTAACCTCCGAGAAGAACCAGCCAAGAGATAAATAATTACACGCACAATCAAGTGTGGACAAATCACAAACTTCGTGATCTTCCTCGAAATTTCGTGCTCTGATGGCCACAAGCTTCTTTGTGACCGACAAAAGTAATGGAGAAACAACTGTGGGGTGGTGGACTCTTGTGATCTGGTCATAGGCTCGCTAATCAGAAAAACTTTGCTGGCTTCCTCGTAATGGAAATGGCATCCGTCTCTTTATTGGATGATTTGCCTTTCATATATTAAAATCTGCGAGGGATTTGCAGTCTTAAAAAAAGAAGCAGTATGTATTCCCATATTGCACGTGATCAAGCAATCAAGTTGATGTTCAAGCCTTGTGAAAATTCAGGCTTCGTGCATATTAAATATATACGACATGGCATCAAGTTTTTTATTCGTTTTAAAAAAAAATCCCATTAGAGTTGTCTCCATATGTGGTGTTTAAATAGTTTACGTTTGCTTTATCACATAATTCAAATCTTTTGGAGATTGAAATTCCAAATAAGAAAAGCACTGTGGACTAGTGTAGAAAATGGTAAAATTAAATGGTTAATCATGCATAATGTCTTATGCTGAATTATGTGGATCAATAATGTTGACAATCTATAGTTTTTACGCCCGATTATATTTAAATTCTCCATTCTCAATCATAGAAAAGTAATGGTTAAGAAGATAAATCAGACTTATATAAAAGTGTCACATATTGATACATTATAAATGGATATGCTGTTTTAATCAGCTTATTAAATAAATGAGCCAGGGGCAGCTCATCCACAATTGTTTGTTTTTTTGTTGAGAAAACGTTAAGATGCTTTCAAAGCATCGTGTCATCAACCACCAAAAACTAATTATTCAATAGCAAGTGTTATGAATTTTTTACTTTCCTCTAAAGCAAATTATTATGAACGAATAATTAATTATGTGGTGGTTTGGGAACACCTAACCTTCTCTCTGTTGGCGCATGCTGCAATTGTTCTATCGCTTCAATATGGCTAAGGAGCTTGGTTGATTGTAATTTATAACCTCTCATCAATAGTGCCACTTGACTTATATGTTGGTGATATATGCCACTGACACAATGTGTCCTTGAGAAGTGGTTTTAGAACCGAAAGCTGGAGTCTACTATATTCAACAGTTCAAGTTCAATTTATCTTCTTTTCTCTTTTAGCACCGAAAGAAAAGAAGAGTGACGACTTTTAAGTCAAGCCTGTGAAATTTTTCCAAAGTGGACGGAAAAAGTCTCCAGCTTTATAGTTAGAGGAACCATGCACCCTTCAAGATAGTCATGAAGAACGCACATTTATTTCTCTTAAAATTCTATCAATTATTATGTGTGCAATTGTCACAGCGTCAATTACTAGTACATTAGTTATTATGCATACGAACTGTCCTTTTTAGAATTCGACGGAAATAATATCACCTATCTAATCTCGATTCGCTAAATCTTCTATGTTGAAAGGATGGACATCGCATAAGACCCACCTTATGTAATGTGTACGATCCAATCATCCTTTGTAAACCAAATTTATTAAATGAATTTGTGAAATAAGGGGAATGATCATAATGTTGCAAGTGGATCAGGTTTTTAGCCATGTTCCTGATCCCTCGATCGCAGTAGATGATATTGTGGCCTAAGAACGAGTTCTAATTCTCATGATCTATTTATAGGTGTAAGAGGAATTTGGTCAGCGAGTAGCACAAAAATTGAACTAAATCGATGGAAGATTATAAATTCTCAACCTCGAATTTCTTGTCGTCAAATCCAAGTCAAGTTTGAACGTTTTGAGGATACGGTCGGTCCTGTTGTGCACCGAGCAAGGCTTCCTCCACCGTGAGACAAGGTATCTTCTTTTTCTCCTAGCACCAAAAGAACAGAAGAGTGACGACTTTAAGTCAAGCCTATGAATTTTTTCTAAAGCGGAGGGGGAAAGCTTTCAGCTTTACTAGTCGGAGGAACGACTCTTCCAGCTTTGTTTCGAGGTGTCTATGAAAGCTTTTATGCGAGAATAAGTTTTTCTTTCCTAATTTGCCATAGTTGAATTGTTCAATATATCCCCATTCGAACGCAGAATAAAAATCTCAAGGCAAAAAGTAGCGGGTCCCAATTCCAGAGGCAATTTTGAAGACGAGCAAAGCGGCAAAAATAGAGTGGCTGTTTTAAGTTTAAGCAGGAGGCAGTGTCTCAACTCTGGATTTGTGTCAGAGGCAACATAATTTATTCGAGATGATTTAGAGAGTTTCCGATTTAGATCAATCAAACAGTTCATCCATCAACTGCGAGATCAGCGATCCCTCTTCCATTTGGGATAGTCATAAATCCACCATTGGTAGCATTTGAGTCGGCATTCAGCCGGTCGAATGGAGATTTCGGAGAAATCTCGACCCCTAACATATTTTCTTTTAATTCTGTTATCCAACATGAAACGAAAGAGATGCGCGACTTCTCTTAGAACTCGGGTAAATGATGGTGCTTAAGGATGGTCCAAGACATCTAAAGTGTGAACACATGGACTAATTTTCACTGAAGACCGCATGTCTGTGGCCGACAAGATTAGGGAGCAGTGTAGATCGGTACTGGTCCTAAGTGGACTCACTTATTGCACGGACCGACAAACAACTTTACGGTGGTGGATTCTCGTGATCTAGGTCATAGGCCCGCTGATAAAAACAACTTTGGTGGTCTTCCTCGAAATTTCATCCCCAACCTCTGAGAAGTTGGTTTTTCCTTGCCATGTAGTAATTTACCACGTAACCCACTCAAGAGATATCAAATTACACGCCCAATCAAGTGTACCAGCAAAAAATAATTTTACATCTATTGATAATATAGAACTTTGGAAAAAAAATGGTTTGGAAGTCTGGACCGAGATATGTAAAGGTATGAACACATGGACTTATTTTCACTGAAGACCGCATATCAGCTTCGAGGAAATGGCTTTGATCTGTTTAGTCTTCATTTTTCTTTCTGTAATTGAAGTATTTCATGTCATTAGGTTAGCTTTTGTCAAAGGCTCTAATAAATAAAATAAAAAAACTTTTCTGGCTTCCTTGAAAGGGCATTCCCAACCTCCAAGGTGTTGTTTTTTCTCGCTAAATAAATAATTTTACACATGACAACTCAAAAGATATAAAATTATATGCACAACTAACTATATATAGGTCTAAGCCTATTTCAATTTTTCTATCCGCATAATTACTAGCAGACCCATGAAAAAAATCTGCAAGTCCTATGAACAAATTAAGTTTTGCCTTGACCTGGAATAGCAATTTTGATATAGAGTAATTTGTACCCAATAGCGCTTTTACGACAATATATAATTAAGAAAAACACGGTGCTTAAGTGTGGACCAAGATATGCCGTAAGTGTGAACACGTGGACTTATTTTCACCACCGTGTTATTTGGAGTACCTGATTGACACAAGCTTCTTTGTGGCTGACAAAAGTAGTGGAGAAACAACCTTGGGGTGGTGGATTCTTGTGCTCTGGTCATAGGATCGCTAATCAGAAAAACTTTGCTGGCTTCCTCGAAATGGCATCCCCGGTCTCTGAGTGGTTTCCTTTTTACTAAGTAATAATTTAACACATGACTACTCAATGACATATAAATCACAAGACAAATATACGTTTTGTATATGGTAAGATAATCACAACATTCCTCGCCAAATGTCTAAAGAGTCGGCTTTTAAAAATTTATACCTCTAACTTTGTATTGACACAAAATTTTTTTCTTGAAGACCTTTCATTCATTTCATGAGAAAACTAATAATCGAGTTTGTCGATAGTGGCGCGATTGGATGCTTAAACAACAACATTTGCTTAGCTTCGTCCCACACTCGAACTTCTTCATTTTAATCGGCCTGTTGAACGGCTCAACATGCGAGATGAATTAGAATTCATAACTCCAAAATCATGGCAGTTAGCGTCAATTTCATGATAGTGCGATTGGACCCAACTCCAGGATTGCGGGAGATGGTCTTAACTCTAAGATAGCGGGACTGGACATGATTCCAAGTTAGTGGAATTGGTCCTAACTCCTTGCTGTGGATTAAGATATGATTCGGCCAATCATGATTATAAGAATTGTAGAGGCTTGGATCAAAAACTACCAAGATGAGGATGAGATCAGTCAAGGCTAGCCAAGAGAGCGGACTTCGATGAAAAAACAACCCGTTTTTCCAGAGGATTTTTTAAGGAGCAAAATACGGTCAAGAGATTTGGATTGCACGAAATAAAACATGGTCAAACACTCATGGAAGACCCTCTGCCCACTGAACAAGACTTTCTTCACCATAAGACACGGCATCGTCTTTTTCTCTTAGCATGAGAATAAAAGAAGAGTGACAACTTTTAAGTCAAGCCTATCAAATTTTTCCAATGTGGTGGGAAAAAGTTGACAGCTTGACGAGTTAGTGGAACGACGCTTCGAGATACTCATGAAGAATGTGAATGACCAGGAGACAACCGGGAGAAGACCGGGAGCCGACGCTTCCAGCTTTGTTACGATGAAAAGGTTAGGCCAACAATGGTAAGGAAAAGCATTGAGAAATAAATGCATCATAGATATCCACTTATACGAGTGAAATAATTCAACTTAGGTCTTATTTGTTGGCTGTGGAATCAGACTACCTAATGAATTGGAGATTCAAAATTTTGGATTTTTCATTTGGAAAGATATTTTTAAACTTCGAATTGAATTACCAAGCAACACTTGTTAATGAAATTTCACTACCACCGTAGTTATACTACATCACCATCAAAATCATGGGACAATTGAGTCACCAAGGACCTCGAGGCTAGCTTAGTGTTAGTATATTTGCTTCTCTTCACCCCAATTGAGATTGACTATAAGGTTTTGTGAGAGAGACGGTAAGAATATTATACTTTGAAACACCTAGGACCCAAGAGTCAGGCTCATAACCTTCACAATCTGGTCCGGGGATGCCTGGTCAGCCTCGTGAACCTGACACTTAAGCCCAAAACCCTAGCGGTTGACCTGGGACCTTGGCACTAGCGGCTAGGACCAATTGGTCAATCGAAGATTCTGTTTAGGTAATGAATGGATTCTTCTACCACTATTGTTGGCATCATCTTGCTCCATCCCTCTATCTATATTATTATATAATTACAATCAAACTAATCTAGTTTATTTTCCTCAAATGGTAGCCATTTGGATTACTAAAAGTTCATGAAATAGCTTCTATTATTGTGGAAGTGACTTTCTAAAATTCTCCTTATTTCTACAATTTTCCTAATTGCCTCAAGGATTACTCTATATTT